ATGCCAACTTTTTGTCTTTTTCTGCTCGGCCTCCAGTACCCGACACTTCTACCACTACTTGAGTGGTACCGGCCTACCTGCTACTTGAGAGTGTTTTTCCCCGCTGCTGTAAGTGTCGGGGGCCTACCCCCGCTACTTGAGTGTTTTCCCCGCTGCAACCCTCGAAGTCACGGCCACAGGTAAGTACCGGCCCTGTGGGACCTTTCAACCAACAAGTACCCTTGCGGGTCACACACACACTCAGCCGACAAGCACTCAGACAGGCATGCAAACCAGCGGCATGCATGAAAGTTCAGAGGCCCCAGGGACAGGACAGTGTAAGCGGGCTGTCAGAGGGGCGCAATGCAAAATAATGGAAATTACAGGGGCGCCAGACAAATTTTCCCTTCAATATATCACTTGGTCTGTCACCGATTGATTGTTTCATTGTGGATGATTGTTGATTAACTGTGATTAACTGTGTCATTGACTGATGGAAGAGGACTATGGACATGGGTCATCTAGCCATATTGAACACAACACCCATTGTTTCGTGGCCTCATTTCTTCCTGCACTGCATTGCTCGCACTCATTTCTGCCTCAGCAGCTGTACCTGGTTCATAGGCTGCTAAGGTCCTGGTGCATTGTGGAACTGCTCGGAGTCCTGATACATGGCAAGAGATGAGCGTTCATCTAATTGCTTTGGAGCTGGTTATGCAGGTCAGGTGGGGGCATAAAGCACTGGGGTCCTGTTTTTCACAGCCTCATCGCTATGTTGCATGTGATTCTAATACCTCCTTGCATACAGCCTTGCGTCCTCACTCCTCTTGCCATTTTCTGTGATTTGCTGCTTTTGACAGCTATAATAAGGAAGTGAAATGTGAATCCGCAATGTGGCATTCATTTTACTTTTCAGTTGAGTGCAGACAACCCCGGAGATTTCTCTGTGAACTTGACCAATATTTCTGTGTTTTGCCGCATTTGTTTTTTTGTGCCTTCGTCTCCAGGACAATTTCTCACCTTCTAGTCTTCCTGCTGGTGGTTTCCTCCTTTTTGTTTTATATCCACGATCGCCCCGTGTTTGTTTGGCTCACTGTGAACTTCACTGATGGTTCTTTGTTTTGTCGTATTTGTTCCTTTGAGACATTGTCTCCAGGATTATACTTCTGCCCAATTTCTCACCTTTCAGTCTTCCTGCTTGTGGTTTCCTTCTCCTTTGTTTTTATACCCAGGATTGCCCCGTGTTTGTTTGGCTCGGTAGTGTGTCAACCTGGCCAATGTTTCTGCCTTTCACTGTCTTTGTTATGTTGTGCCCGGCCTCCAGCACCCCTATTTTCTGCCCATCTTAAACTTTCAGTTTATCTGCTCGTTGTTTCACTTTCTGTTGTTTCTTATTGTACGATGCTGCTGTCTGCTGCTTCAACTCCCATGTTTGTTCGGTACACTACTACACATCTTCTGCTGTTCTTTTCGTGCTTCCGGAGCATATATTCTAGCCCGTGCATGTCTTCTTGTCCTTGACCGTTTTCTCTTCTTTCCCTTCGAGCTAGGCCCAAGAACGACCACAATTCTGGCATCGTGCGGGGCGTGGACCAGTCTCTAATCACCGCTATCTTGCTATCCTCAGGCTTAATTCCATCTCCGTCTAAGACATGGCCCAAGTACAAGACTTGTGTCTTGGCCCACTCGCACTTCTTCGCATTGATCTTGAAGTTAGTCTCTCTCATTTTTCCAAGACCTGCCTCAAATGACCCTGATGCTCTTGAAGGGTTCTACTGAAAACTAATATATCATCTAGGTAAACTACGACGGATCTATCTAACCAAGGCCTAAACACATAATTAATGCAGCGCTGGAATGTGGTTGGCGCATTGGTCAGTCCAAAGGGCATCACGATGAACTCATCATGCCCATATCTAGTCCGGAAAGCAGTCTTATACTGGTCATTAGGGTGAATTTCTATCTGATGATATCCGAACTTCAGATCTATCTTTGAGAAATATCTGCAGCCTTGCACCTGATCCAAAAGATCGTCTATCCTGGGCAGCGGCTCAGCATCCTTTACTGTAATGGCATTCAGACCCCTGTAATCGATACACATGCGCAACTCTCCCTCCTTTTTGGGGACAAACAACACGGGTGCTCCGAAAGGAGACGAACTGGGTCTAATCCAACCCTTTTCGAGGAGTTCGTCTAGTTGCTTATGCAACTCCCTTGGGGACATCCTGTAAACTACACCCTTAGGAGTTCTACTGCCAGTCTCTATCTCAATGCGATGCTGGATTGGCCGCGGCACTACTCTTGTTCGCGGCTCTGCCAAATCTTTAAACTCTTCCAGCAGCTTGGCAATAGCTGGGTCTATTGGTTTCTCTTCAGTAGGCTCAATGACAGGCCTCACGTAAGCTACGAAGACCTGCTCTTCTAACTGCTCCTTCCTTGCTAATCGCGCGAATGCGGGAGCGCTGAGACAACAATGTGCCAGGGAGTTATCTAGTCCTGACACATGAAACAGGCGAGCAGTCTTAACTTCGCCTGATGGACTGGGGAGCCTACACTCATCCTCTTTTAAACCACGAGTACTTGGCCCAACTGTCAAGTCCGAGCCTCGGCCTACTGGTCTGCCAACCAGTGCCGAGGCTGGAGTTACCGGTTGTCCACCTACCAACCTGCTTCCGAAATAAAAGGAAGAGAAAAGAGGAAAAAGATAAGGAAAAAAAAATCACCATTCGTTTTTTTTTTTTTTTTTAATGAAAATAGAAAATGAACGAAATAACGGACTAGATTTATAAAAAAAGAAAAGAAACGAACAAAAAAAAAATGGGACTGCTGTTTTCGATAGAGAGCCACGGCGCGTTTGCTGCGGCCCTCCGTGCAGCTCGTCCCCCCCCCCCCCCCCCCCCCCCCCCCCCCCCCCCCCCCCCCCCCCGGCCCCTCTCTCTCTCTCTCTATCCCTCTCTTTCTCTTCCTGCGCAGAAGTGCTACCGACGTCTGCAAAACGGGTGCATCTTCCCGCTTTCGCTCAGCAAAGAAACTAGAGTGCATCTTTCTGTGGAAAGGGGGAAGATGCACCTGTTTTGCAGACGTCGGTAGCACTTCCGCGCCGGAAAAGAGAGAGAGAGAGAGAGAGAGAGGTTGTGCAAACTCACCCCTTTTGCAGACGTCGGGTAACACTTCCGCTCGGGAAAAGAGAGAGAGAGAGAGAGATGAAATGAGTTTTCTGCAGCCCTCCGCGGCTCTCTCTCTCTCTTGCATGCGCTCCTCGCCCTTGCCTTTGCTCTCTCTCTCTCTCTCTCTCTCTTTTGTACGCCCTCCTCGCCCTCGCCCTTGCTCTCTCTCTCTCTCTGTCTCCCTCTCTCACTTCCGCATGCATCTTCCTACGTTCGCAGGAAGGTGCATTATCTCTCTTTCTCCTTCTCTCTCTCTCTCTCTCTCCCCCTTCCCCGCGTTGCAAAAAAAAGAAAGAACTGTTCCTTTTTTTGTTTTGTTTTTTTGGTGTGTCATCCTGGTTGCAACGGACCTCGGCCTTGTAGCAGTGACTGGGCGGTTGGTCGGGCTACCCCCGAAAGCAGTGTCGCGTTAACGGGAAAGCCCCGCCGCCCAACACTGGGCCAAGTACTGGTGGTTTAAGTGGAGTGTGGCCCCTGCTGCCTCTCCCCATTCCATACCTAGGACTATATCGAAAGGGAGGTTGTCCTCTACGAGGAGAGTCGGGGAATGGAACACTTTCTCCACCTTACCATCTTTCTCTAGGCGAAGATATGCCTGGACTCCCTCGACGTAATCCTCAACACGCATCGTGCGGTTGTCTGCGAGGATACTAACTATGGGGTCTTCCAACTTTTGGACTTTAAGACCTAGCCTCAACTTCTTTAGCGCTCTTCGACTAATATAACTACAAGTAGCCCCTGTGTCTATAAGGGCCCCTTCTCTGCTTCTAAAAACTTCTAAATCTACTAACACAAGTTGTCCTTTGCTCTCCTTTTTCATCTTGGCGCAGGCCGATAAGGGAAGTGCCTAGGGAGACTCTAACACAAGCTGTCTCTGGACAGCTAACTAGGCACTGGCCTGCAACCTCTGCCATAGACTCATGTGGTGTGGGAGTTCATTGGTGGTGCGCATACTTCCCCACATGGCCTAATGGTAAGGGCAATTGCGACCCCTACTGACGGCTGCCTTTTGACCCGTTGGCAGCAAACCGGGCTTCCCTATACTTTGGACAGTATTTAATGATATGGGCAGGGTCGCCGCAATAGATGCACTACCCCTGCTCCATTCGCTGCTGCCAGACTCTTTGGTCCAAGCCCAGATCTTCCCAAGGCCGGCCCTGTGGCGAACCTGGGTGCCAACCTGGGTGCCAACCTCCTCTCCTCTGAGGTGATCCTCCACCTCTGCGGTGTGGTGATCAACTAGGCCCTGACCGATTCGGCGGAGGACCTTGACCCCTACCTCCCTCTTGGCGGTTCCTTTGTCCGCCAACCCCCTGTGCGCCCGGACCTCGACCACCCATGGCCCAGCCCCCTTGGCCCTGGCCTCCTCCTCTATTTTGCGGCCTCCCTCCAACCGCGACAGCAACGTGGGTCCTCCCTTGGCCTACACTACTGTCTTCCTCCTCGAGCCCCCACTCTATCTGACTGTAGGGGACTTCATTAGTACCACCCTCGTCTAAAGTAAGGATCAGGTGATGCTTTGCCCGGACCTGACCAGAGATGGTATGACCCTTCCACTTTTTACCCTTATCTAAATCCTTATGCCAGAAAGTGGACACTAGTATGGATTTGGCCTCAAACAGGACGACCTCTCTACTTAACGCGTCGTACATGATGGTGGACTGTGGAGTCTTTCAAAGAAATGCCCTCGTAAGGGCTCGGGCATGGCACGATAGAATAAATTAACTAATTGGGTCTCAGTGACCCGGTGGTCTGGGATGGCTACCAAATCATCCATCACTGCCTTGAGTGCCCTTGCACTCTTCTATTGCCGCGAATGGATCGTTTGCAGTTCATCGGAGGCCCTGACGCCTGGCGTGACACACATGCTACGATGCTGATGTCTGCTTGTGCGTGTGCCGGATTTTCCTTGTGATGTTCGTTGACAGTCTTGCAATGGATGGAACTGCAGAACGACTCGACATCCATCTCTCCTCGACCATGTCCTCAATCCCCTCGGCAGTGCCACTCAATGATCCTGGTACTCATCTATGGACTGCTGCGTGCATGGCAGCTCATCCCACGTCCTCCCCTTTCCCGATCCTCTTGTGATGCCTCTTGACACCAATAGTCCCTTTTTCCATGTGGGTAATCATCACGCCAGGTGGTAATGTCTCTTTCATTGCCCATGTATGGAACCCCTGCTGTGATGCCAGTGAACACCACCCCTCCCTCCCCCAATGCACCATAAAGATATGTGACGCCACTCAACATCCCTCAACACCTCTTCCTCCCGTTCACATTCATGGAAACCTAAATCGCAATGCCACCTCTGCACTCCCAAGTCCCACCCGCTTCTGTGTGGTTCCCTCTTGCTATGCCACGTCGCACACCTTGGCCTCCCATGTGCATGGGATGTTCTCTGCAGTGCCACCAGATAGGCAGGCCTCTTCCCCTTCTCCTTCGCTGTAGTGTGACTTCATGACTTCACACGTGAACGCTCAACTTGAAAGGTCGACTCTCCTCCTCGTGCCACTACTTGTCACCCTTCTTGCCGCTCCCCCATACCGGACTCCTTGTCCTTTGTAATGCCGTTCAATGGCTCTGTCTCCCTGTGTAAGCAACCTGCCCTGTGCCTTGGGACACCAGTTGGTATCCTTCTATCCTCCGCATGCACAAAGCTGCCCCATGTGATGCTGGATGACACTCCTCTTTTTTCCTCACACGTGGACAATGTCTTGCGACCTTGACGTTTGCAATCCGTTCTGCGTGTTTGGAAAGTGCAGTTCTTCAATCTCCCTGCGCCATCCATTGAGCATCTTTTGGCATCTCTCAACCCTATGCCCATGTGGGGTTGAGGTCTGGGTGCCATCAACGGTCTCCACCAATTGTATAATTGTCTATGAGCAGAAACTGTCTCACATTGACACTGCCTTCCATTGCACATGTTTGAATAAAAGTTGGAAGGTCTGTCGGCAGTCCTTGGCACATATCCGCAGAATTATGGTATCACGTGTCTCTAGGCACAGCAAGTCAGGCTTGGATGTAATGGTAGCTTGAGAGTTCAGCAATCATACACCAGTTCATGTTGCTGCATCACACCCCGTACATGCTTCAGGCTTAAAATACAAGTTTATGTCTCTTAATATATGGATCAAATACATTCCGTCCCACATATCATCTCGTCCCACATATCGATGAGATATATATCGATCGCACTACGATGGTTGACTATCTATAGATAGATGCCAATTGGAGTATGTATTGTATTTGTGTGTATATAGACTTGAATACAATGTCACAGGTCTCACTTCACTCACAAACTCGATCCTTCTCCGGGAAAGGTCAATTGGAACACACGTTTCTCTGGGGCTGGAAACGCCCTGCGCGCCAGAAAAAGAACAACCAGTGCAGGCCTCGTTTTTCTGCCGCTGCCAGCCATTTTGCTCCAGAGGCCGGTCCCGAAAGTTGTGCTGGCATGCAAGCCGCATATTTTATTCTTTGGCTGGGAAAAGTACTGGTGGTTATATTGCAAATCCTCCCAATCTCCCTCTATCTTCTTCCTACCCTCTGTCTGCCAACAGGTCTCTTGTGATCACTCTCTCTGACTGTTCTCACTCTTTCTCTCTGCCCACCTGCGTTCTACTACGACTACGGCGCTGGGGGCCATCGACAACTGTACTAACAAGCATGCCTCGAGCATCCAGAGCTTAGTTGTACAATAACACAGCAGCGCTTCTATGATAGCCCAACGTGACAAAAGGTCAGGATGTGTGCTGTGACTTCTCTTTCATCCATGCGGGGACTTCAAAAATTGGACTTGTGATGTTGCTCCTCGCAGTCCCTGTGGCGGCCTGCAATGATTCGGAGTGTAATAGGACTTTCCTTGGAGTGAGCTGCAACTTGACCGAGCCACCTAGGGGAAAGTACTGCAGACCTGGGGACAGGGGTCTGTGTAAACTGAGATTGGGACTTGGTACGGAAACTGGGAATCTGACACGTGTGAATCCTTTCACTCCGGCCTAATTTTGAGGGCCTCCTGGAATATCGTAGTTGTCAAAGGGCCTTGCCACACTACTCCCAGAAACGTGCATTTCCAGGAATGCAGCGTCACCACACGTGCTCCCGGATTCAATGTGTCGGATTGAATTCAGGAGCTGTCAAATTTCACTGCGCGAGAGCACTCCTGGGTTTCCTTTCTCCTCCTGCCTGCAAACAGGCGTTTTCAGGAGACCTCGGGTGGTGGGCTTGAGCAGGCCTCATCTCTCCCGAAAACTGCATGCTTGTTCTTAATGTTTTTCGGGAGTGGTGCGGCGGGGCTTAAGTTAACGCGTTCCCTTGCATGCTTGTGTTCTTAATGTTAAACAATGTGGGGTGCAGTTCCACAAAGTTGCTCTTTCTGGAACCACCTATCCGCTCGGAGTCTGATACTGTGATCTGACACTGAGCTGTTGACTGGGCGTCCCCTGTTGTCTGTTTGAAGACCAGCCTGATCCACTACAGGAGCGATGCCATAGCTGCTATCCATGTCAGGCGGAATCATCGATCTTTGTGAAGGCAAGGATGCCCCTGATTTAACAACCAGCAGCTTTGAGGCATGGAAGATTGGACAAGTGTGTAGGTGTGGAGGGACATCTACTGCGTAGGACGGACATCAACATTTCCCGCATTGATATCCAGGACTTCCCACAGTCCTCTATACATGGGTAGCGTTTTTTGAGAAAAATACCTCTTCAGGTCCAAACTCGTTAGACTTCACCCATACTAGACCACCGAATGCGAACCGCGAGCGATGTCTATTAACGAACTTTATTATCTTGCCCAATGTGCTCACTTGGTTTCTGGAGGTCGTTCTCATTCCTCAGGGCAAACTCGAGAGTGCGGGGTGGTAACCTCTGCATCTGGTCTGGATTTATTCCTTCTATACGCCTGCACGGCTTCTCATCCCTCGTACAACTCATTGGGTGTCCTGTTCGTTGGCAGACTTGTTGAGTTTTTATATGCATTGGCTATCTTTTGCAGTTGCTCGTCCCAGTCTGCCTGGTCTGGTCAGATCTGATATATATACAGTTTGTCACAGCCCCTCGTTTGTTGTCCTCTTCTCTCTCTCTGCCTACGGTTTACCGGGCAGTTCTGTTTGTGACGATATATACATATTATATTTGTGACGATATATATAATATATTTGACGATATATAATATATATATATAAAAGGGCTAATTCTATAAACTCAAAAAGAGATTGCATTTTTTATTTATATATCTTTTTTAGAAGAAATATTCAAGCAAATTAAAAAAGTTCGAAATCAAGTATTTGTTTGGTTTTATTTCTTCTTTATTGTTATAGAAGACAATAAAAATACAATTAATATGATGAATATATAAACCAGCGTGGCGGGCACGACTTTTGCAATGGCTTTATAACAATGTTTCCAATGCGGACATGMCAGCAGACATTCGAGAACTCGAATGCCCAATCCGAAAATTCCAGCATACCCGCCAACGTTACACAGCACAACCACGTGACCCGTTTACTGACCATATTAAGGTCGTGCATGTGCATGAGGTAGTTCGTGCCACGAACTTGCGCCATGTGTTGCAGTTGCCAGAAGTAGCTGCATTGCACCCTCACCCTCAAGCGGCCGCACATGTTCGTGTATGTGACAAGTTGATGCCACCCACACGTGTCCAATTTTGCAACTTTACTGATGTGGCATTGAGTGTTGCTCCTGACATGACCTTACCAGACTCCGTGAACTGCGAATGCCGCAGGGCCTTTCCGCATTGTTCAGATCTTGTGGACGGTCATGTTGTCTCTGTTGATTACAATATCATCTCAGACGATAACCTTCGCAAGCTTTTTCAAGAAGGTTCTAAATATCGTTTGAACGGGGAGACTGCTGATGTGCTCCAA